AAAGGGAGTTAAGGGAGCTAAGGGACTAAAGGACTAAAGGGAGTTAAAGGAATTAAAGGAGTAAAAGGAGTAGAGGGAGCTAAGGGAGTAAAGGGAGTTAAGGCAGCTAAGGGAGTAAAAGGAGTTAAGGGAGCTATGGGAGTTAAGGGAGCTAAGGGAGCTACGGGAGTAAAAGGAGTTAAGGGAGTTAAAGGAGTAAAGTGAGCTGCGAGAGCTAAAGAGTGTAATTATATAGTATAAAATTGCTCCAAGATAACTTTAATTTCTTGTGTACCCCTCGATTAATTATATCTAATTATAAAGTTTGTGCTTTTGACTACATTGAAAGATAAGTTATCATGTATTTTTAGAAAAAAACACTACTTTGATGACATAAGAAACATTTTTTAGTTTTGGATAAAATCTCATTTTTATATAAACATAGTCACTTTCTTTCTTGATAATATTATAGGTTCAATCTGTATCGTTTGTTTATTCACGTCATTAATTAGTGAAACTAAGACAATAATTGAAAAAAATCCATCGTTAACAACTTACAATTCTTTACGAGCCTTACATCGCGCTTCACTCCAATGTCCATGCTTTAATAAAACAATACCTCATCAAAAACTTGTCTTATTGTCTCCGCATTATCATCAAATATGTTCGAGTGGTTTTGTTGATGATGATTGGATTGATATGATGAAATCGAATTTATATGATATTATTCCTAAGGATTGGCGTTTTCGTGCATCTCCACTGTTTCAATTGTTATCTGACTTTTGTCAATTAGCTAACGAAACGATCAATGATGCTGTGAAACGATATCTTTCTAAATTATTTATTGCTTCTTTTGTAATGAACAAAGACGATTTCAACAAACAACTAGATTCCAGCCTCAGTCAATTTTATCGATCAACAGTTCATTATTTTGATTTGATGACAAATGCCTTACGACTTCTTATGCAGACTGATCAGTTGTATAAAGGTCCACTCCGAAATACTATGGATAATTCGGACACCAATCTAATCGAAAATGTTGTAGAAGATAAAACAAATAAAATTCAACTAGTAAAGGTATGGTATTATTTTGAATGAAAAAACGATACATTTTTCAAAGAAATAATTAGAAATGATCCAGTTATCTAGACTATTTCGGAAAAGTAATTAAAAAGTTAATAAGTTATACATTATTCACGTTTATAAAGAAAAGAAAATATTTATAATATAATGATTGCCAGACTTAGTAAAATGCCCAGGCCGAGAAATACATGAAAACAAGTGGGTTCATTTCATTATGATGAATTAATGGAAACAGTATTTAGAAACGGAAATCAACGGATTTTTTCACTTTTTCCCGTAGCCATTACGGTCTGAACACCGTTTGGAAGCTCCCGAAAAAAACACAGAAACTGTATATTTTGAGATGGTATAGGTGAGGGCTGAATGAACGCCGCCCATTCAAAAAACGAAACCTAGATAAAACACTGGTATTAGGCATCTCTTGAGAAATAACCAGTCCCATTTTGGATTTTCACGAATTCCAAACGAGCGATCCCAGACTGGTTCTAACCTCCGTTTCAGACTCACCTTCGAGCAAGGATATGGGTGTGGATGTGGATATGAGCGTGATGGTGTCTCTAGTCTGCTGCGTCTATCACTAATCCACATCTACGTTAACGGAAACATTTCAAGAAAAGAAAAGGTTTTTCACATGAATAATATTTTCGGGAAAAAAAATCGATATTAATCACATATAGAAATAGTATTTCTTTCATTTGTTTAATGTCGAATTATAGATTTTTGTGATGTTAATTTTAGCGAAAATTTATTTTGAACGAAATTACAGAAATCAACTCATCAACGACTAGATGTGTTTGTGCAACTGATCCTTATTGTAAAGTTCCGGCTGTTATTTACGATATTGATAGGAAGCCTTGGGCTGGCTATATAAAATGTTCAATTTATAATGTATCAGGATGGATTCAAGGATGTCTTGCTATGGATTCTCTTCTTCTTTCAACACTTCAATGTTTATATGTAGATTCAGATTGTTTTCCATTGTTATTGAGCTATACTGGCAAGAATGGGAATTCTGGACAATCATCGCGTGTAATTCATCCATTGATTTATAATCCAACGAGCCGTTTTCCTCCGAATACAACGATATCAGCCATGTTTAAGGAAATGATGGTCGAACAATGGAATCCATCTCCATTGTATCAATCATTTTATGAATCATGTGCACCGATTTATTGTACTTATCTACGAAAAATGCGTACACAATCTTTTGTAGGAGTGGTAATAAAATTGATATCAACAATTGGTGGTATTATGGCTTTATTACGAATTGTGACACCTTATCTTATTAAATTTATTCTTAAATTACCAACAATATGTAAGAAAAAGAAACAACATCAACCAAGAGAACGAGGTAATGAAAGTTTTAATCAAATCTCCATAGATAAAGTTTAAAGCTCAGTTGATTAAAATTGAATTATTCTGTAAATAATATCGCACGAAGTGTTCATCAACCGAAAAACTTTTCTATATAAGACTTCAAAATAATTGTTACAGTAAAACATCAAATGTCTCATTATTTTTTTTCTTTGTTTAATAATGCTCATAATTTTATTTAATATTTGAAGATTTCTAAATGTTTATTCGATATATAAAACTATTAAAAGAGAATGTGTTTAATATGTTTTCATTTCTCTTTAGTTCAACGTAGTTGTGTCGATCGAATGAGAATCATGATACGAAAACTGATTAAACTTTTGTCAACAACTTTAATTGAATTAAATATATTTTCAACACGTGATTTTGGAAGTAATACTGATCAAATAACAGCTAAACGTTATGGTCGATGGGCAACTCGTCTTTATATTATTTTATTTCTTAGTTGTCTGATTATTCTTATCTTTTATACAACTATTCGATCACATAATTTAACAAAGACATTTGACCAACCATCTTTTATTCGTTATACACATTTAAAAGAAATTTATGGTAGTAAACTAAAATGCTCATGTTCAAAAATAACATCAGCATATGATAAATTTCTTGAAATTAAACCAGAATTTCATTCGGTAAGAGATTGTTTTGTTATTTTAAAAGAATTGAATAAGCAACTGGTTACATCATGACCTTGTTGATCAGGATAAAATCTTACTGCTAATGGTCAAACATCCACTAGTAATTCGCCACTGGCGAATATACCATCAGTGAAATTCATAATTGACAAAATCTCAGAAATTTTTATTAATCAGATAAAATCAAAGAATTTTGTTATTTTTACAAAAATTTCGTTATTAAAATTTTTAATGATAGGTTTAATTAATAATTTTATTCATTCTTATTATGATAGGTTTGTTCAAGTGAATTCATTTCCGAACAATGGCGAATCGGTATAGCAAATGGCCTTGTTTCTAATTTATCTATTTATTCACAAAAAGATTATCGTCGATTTATTTCTGCTCATATACAATATCTTCAAGGATTATGTCGACTTTCTCAACAATCAGTCAACAATGCTGTTGATGAATCTCTAACATCATTATTAGTCACTATTGAACTTATCTCTGAACAGAATTTTTATAAACATCTCAACAACTCAATTGAGCAAAGCAAATCAAATGCTCCTATTTTATTCTCTCGTCTTCTCTTCATCACTCGAACTATTAATCATGGAAATGCTTACATGTCAACATATGGTTCAAATTTCGAATATATTTCTTTGGTGACTAAAAATGGCGGTGGTTATGCATATACTGAAGGTATGATTTATGATAATGAATGCTCCTGTGGCTTGTATTCAAACTGTACAAGTCAAGCGACTTTTGTCGACGAAAATACTTCAAAAATAATACCAGTGAAAGGATTAAAAATAGGATGTACACCAAGTGAATCATTTCGTTTATCAACTCTTGAATGTTTTTATGATCAATCATGTCTTAATCTTATTCAAAAGTATACAAATTATCATAATTCTTCGACTCCTCTTTCAACAACCTCCAGTCGTTTTCCAGAGAATACAACAACTGATGAATTAATTAAAAATTTATTTAATGAACAATGGTTCAATCAAT